ATTCTATAACATGGAGATGTAGACAGTTCTCAAATATGAAACTTAAGATATCACTGTATGAGGATTGTACTGCTTTATTGTACGTTTTTGGATCAAACTTTGTTTTACTCACATTTTTCATCGGCTTAAAACAAGTAAATAACAGCACCATGAGGAAAGCTAGGTATTATGCATCTTAAAACTACCGCCACATTCAAGAACATAGTAATACTCATCTTCCATATATTTAATGCATCTAAATGCTGTTGCATGTTTCTTATTGGTAAAAACAACAATGAGAATTCAGAACAAATGTAATTAAATATTATCTATAAAATCGGCCCTATGCCATTTGATTCCTACAGATCAACTTCTTGCCACCAAAAGGAATTTAAAATACCTATAATTCTTCCTCTTTATAGAAATATCTATGGCTTGCACAGGATGGGTATAGAAAGATGTGTTTTTCCTCTCCCTAGAAATATAATGAAATTATTGTGGTTAGCTAGTTATATTGTATAGCACAACATAGCCTACTAAAGAGTATGAACTACTGGGTGAGTGGCAATTCTGTATGCCTTGACTACAGAGCTGAAGAATGAAGAGAGAAATAATATATATAAAACATGCAGAAAAAATCTGCAGGAAGAACAGGAGAAAAAGTGAGCTAAGAATGGCACAGAAAGAAAATGCAAATCCTATGAGCTACAGCAATAAGGGAAGGGGGCGTTCAAAGAAAGGCTTAGCAATGACAAAATGAAAGTATAAACTGAGATAGGTAGAAAAGAGTGAATAAATAGAAGTTAAAAGGATTGGGTTGAAACTATGGCAAAATATTTTATACTGTTGCTATAGTGATGAAGCTCTCTTGGATTATTATACCTGTTAAAAACCAGCCTTTTGAGTGTCCAATTTATATTGCACACTTGGGTTGTCTTGGCATCAGGATACACACCTCCAATTCTGCAGGTTTATTCCTGGCTAAAAGCTTGCAGTCCAAAGCTACACATATATATTTTTTAAAATTCCAAATTGGAAGAAATGGAATTTTATTCAGTTTCAAGACATGCCAACTTCTCTGATATAGTACGAGTATACAGTATAATCAAAAAATGATTTATAGATTTCTCTCTTCTCTTTTCTCCTAAGTTTGTTATAACAACCTGACTTAAAATGACACTGCAAATTGTTTTAAACTCACTTTGAGAATTTGGGCTTCAAATTTAGCCTGTTTAAATCCTTACCCCATCCCTTATGCTTCTTTCCTCTCAGCTGTTCCTTTTATTTATCTCAATTCCTTTTCTGTTCTGTACTCCTTTCTACAGATAGTAACACTTGAACTTTCATTCCTTTAATGGTCAGCCACTGATTCTCCTGGGGACCATCTGAATGTTGATTGCATGAAGATGCATAAGCCCCATAGTCCATTTCTATAACAGACTCTTAGCATGTCTCAGGTTCATGGCCACATTCTGCAGATATTTCTTTTGTCTCCAGATTAGCAAGTGAGGCTGGGGGGGGGGGGGAGAGAGAGAATTTATCTCAGAGATATTGTGTTACTGATCTAGAGACTATGAGATGCTTTCCCCTACTCTTTTTTCCCTTGGCCTTACTGAACTGTCAGTTCACTTCCTTATTGACCTTTCAACTTCTAGTGGCTGATCACCTACTGGGATCCCTTCTGTTTCTAAACTCACCATAACTTGAGCATTTGCCATTCTAGCCTTCCACTCTTCCACCTTTTCCGTGAGGAACATCTGACTTGGGAGATAGTCTGTTGGTGCCAGTTGCCAAGTGAAATGGCAGATGTCTCTCTTTTTCCTTAGCCACTTTGGCATTTGCCTTTGCACAAGCTAAACTATTAATATTCCACACAAGCAGCTGGTCAATATAATAAAATCCCTCAATCGGGCAGTTGTAAATTATCCACCTTCAGCAAGTCAGTTATCAAATTGTACCAGGTTTGGTTCTCAGAAGAAGTGCCTGCATGACAACTTCTTCCTCTTCTGGTACAAAAAGGACACCCCTACATCCACCAAAATCAATTGCCCTCTCCTCTGGGATGTATGTAATTTAACATGTAACCTTCAGGATGCAACATGACAGTGTTTTCAGTGGAGCTGCCCCTAAAATGGGTCCCCAACCCCCGGTCCGTGGACCAGTACTGGGCTGCAGCATGCCAGCAACCAGTCCGCACAAACAAGCAAAGCCCCATCCGCAGGATGCATACACCCTCCGGTCCACAGAAAAACCTCTCTCCATGGAACCAGTCCCTGGCACCCAAAAGGTTGGGGACCTAAAAGACATCTCAGAAACGTCACTTAACCTGAGAAACAGTAGCTGATTGCTTTGAAACATCTGGAAATGGGAATCTGTCTCTACAAAATGCTAAGCTGGTTTAATTATTTGTTTCTTCTAGATATAGTTCAAGATACTTGTTTTCACTTATGCAGTCCAAATGGTCTTGAGTAATGATCAAACAAATAATGCAACTGTCTGCCTATAAAGCAGAATTTTGGCAAATTGTAATACAATAGCTCTCAAAAAAAATTCCACTTGAAACTTTCTTTTTTTGTCTTTCAATTCTTTTTTCCCCTTTGAGCATTGCAGTTTTCCTTTTCATTAGCTAATATCTTAATACATAGTTATTTTAAGTGATTTTAGAATTGGTACATAATCCACCTTTTGTAAACTGCTCTGAAGAAATGTTAAAAAATGCCCAAAATAGAATTATTCATGGTCAACTATACAAATAATATCACCTAGTTTGAGCCATAAATACATGAAAACTGATCAGAGCATTGAATATGGCCCATATACTTCCCTGAAAACAGATCCAGATTGCCTTACAGTTAGATGGAACAGACTGTAGCAAACTGGCAGACTTTAACTGGCTGACTTCAGGATGCTGATCTATAAGTATATGGAATTCCTTCCCCTTTCTATTACTATATCACAAACTAAAGTATTCTCAATGTGGACTTAAAACATTAAAAAGATAAAATTTTCTCCTTCCTGTATCTTACTGTAACCTAAGCCTGTAATTAAACTTACAAAAATGCATTTTGAAAAATTCTGTATTGTCACTTCCTCTACTTCTTTTTTCTGTTTGGGTACACTGCCTGCCTTGGGTAGCAGGGACTGTCTTCTTCCACTTTGCAAATTGCTGTGCACACAGAGGGTACTGCTATTACTATGAAGTGTTAAAATATTAAGTGACTTCAAGCTGGTCACTATGTTTCACTTTTCCTACAGGTTTGTTGTAGGGATGAAAAAGAAAAACACTACTTATAATAGCATATGGCGTTCTTGGGAAGAGGTTGGATAGGAAGGTATGATATAAAATCATGAATAATTTTAATTGTACAGCACTGGAGGTGGTCAGAAAATGTCATCTCTATTAATTTTTTGGCTCAAGCCCTTTAAAATCTGAAACAGCCTGCACAAGAAAATGCATTTTATTCTGACATGGTTTTGGGAGAAAATCTATTAAGATCTATTACAGTGTGTTTCTAATAAGATACATTTTGAGAACAGAATGAATGTGATTTGCTCAGAATTACCTAGAAAAGGATTTAGAATCAGGACTTATATTGTAGACATCATTGTCAGCTTGAGGCCACAATGTACATTGCAAATATGAAAGACTACTTTCCCTAACACACACTATGATTATATTTTCAAAAATAGCATATGAGCCTGTTTTATGCGGTGGTAGCAGATTACAAGATCTAAGGCAGAGATTATGCCTTCCTTGTTATTCACATACATTTGATAGGTTTTCTTAGCATGTAGTTGATAAATTTGTCATCTTAGGAAGAAATCCTGTCATTGAATTATGCCTGTTTGAAAAAGGACACATGTTCAAATGAACAGAGTTGCCTTATGTAGTCAAAGGATGTCCCCAGTTTTTTCTACTGGAGCTATCTCAGGTGGGGAATCTTTTTCAGTTCCGATTGAGATAATTTGAACTGGATATACCAGGAACGTGATCGGGGTGATCTATCGGGGCTATGGTCTTTCCTAAACGCTAAGATACAAAAGTAGTGTGCAATGTATATTTGTTTGCCTTGAGATTTGAATTAACTTCACAGGAGAAACCAACCAGAAGAGTTGCAGTACCTTGATACAATATACTCTATGACTATTCATCAAGTTCTTCTCTCTTTCCATCCCCCTGCAAAGTATCCTGAAACGGATTGATTCAATCTAATCAACTGTTCCAACATCCTTGCTATTTCAATTTCACTCTGAACGTTACTACTGAAGGCATCAGCTACTTAATTATCTGTATTTTGTATAATATGACATTGCTTGAGTTTTGCACCACTCTGCTTGTGAACAATGAATTCAAGTCATGTGAGGACCCTGCAAGGTGAGTCACAGGTTGCAAGGCAAGATGGCACATGAAGTCAGGCCAGCAACTGCACTTCATCACAACAGACTGAACTTTACAAGAGAAATTCATTCAGTCTTTCCATTTGGCTCTTCTTGCTCAAACTATGGAAAGTTCCTCCGAGCATCTCTCTCTGATCAAAGTAAGAGAATCCAAGACTGACATTCCTGAGTCATTGTGGGAAAGAAGAGGCTTGGTTGTCACTTAAAGCTCTTTCAGAAAGGCATGGTAAAATCAGTAATGTGGAAATACCCAATTCGATATATTTCTTATGGCTAAAAGGAACCAAGGGAACAGAATTTTTTTTAATATAAAATAAACATAAGAGGTAAAACCAAAATCATGTTCAATGAGAGTGTCTCTTGATAGTTCATGCCTTTGTATTTCATTCATACAGAACAAAATTAGAATGTCCCTGGGAACAACAATGTGCACTTGCCCATTCATTTGTGTTTGCTTAGCTAATGAATGGCTGTAAAAAGTGATACAATGAGGAAAGCTTTGTGAAGCTACAAGGTGGGCAGTTCTACTTGGTGGCTTTAGTTATGAAGCAAAATAAAACACCACTGTAGCCAGCAGACCTCCCATGGGATGAACAAGTGCAACAGAATAAAGATTTGCTTACCTGCAACAGTTTGCCTTCAGCAGGGGTGATCTCTGCAATGCTAGCAAAGACTCCTTCCAGTGTGAGGGGTTCCAGTTTGAAAGGGATTACCCGAATTATTGCCTTCTGGGCCAAAGTCCGCTCGGCTTCCATTGCTGCCACCAGCGCCAGTCCTGAGTAGCCTAGTCGTATCTGTAGCATAGCCATTAGCAGCCAAGGCCAGAGGACTGCCAGCTGTAGCTGGGGGCCAACACTCATGCTCCCAGCTGCAGCAGTGTGCTCTGGCCACACATACTGCTCAGGAATGTGTCCTCACCCCACCAGCAGGTTCCAACAACTGGTAAAATTGTTGAGGATTATAGCCCTCTGTGCAACTGCAGTCAATGGGGCAAACAAGAAGCAAAGGATAGCTACCTTGGAGCTTCTTCCAGGCGTTCCTCTCTCCTTTTTCTCAAAGTTTCTTCATGCTACGTGTTTGTGAAAGCCTTGAGCTTCACAGGATTATAAGAACCCCAGATCAGGTCTTCCTTCTCCTCCTCCTCCTCCAGATAAATTCAGACATGATGAACAAAACCAATGGGATATGAATAGCATATGGTATGAAGAGCTCGTGGTTTCTTCTAGGAATACTGCTATACCTGATTTTAGACAGTTCCCCATGGAAGACAATATCAGCTTCTCAAATCTTTTTAGGCTTTTAGATCCTAGGATGGCAAACAGGACCGAACCTGATATCAGATGACCTTAGCAGCCCTTGTTGACTCCTGAAAAGTGAATTGCTTTTTTCATATATTCTTTTCTGTTAATGCCAACTATTTTTGTCTTCTTCTTCTATTTATGCCACACATTAAAGCGTAGAGTAACCATGCATGTACTTGCATTTAGGAATTTGAATGCAAACCTGGTTTTTCTTACTCATTGTCATCTGTTTGATCTTTTATTCATATTTGCATGCCTCCAATGCCTGCACCTCGCTCACTTTGTTGAATTAAAGTTTTTTAAGTTGGAATTTTCCAGCGGTTTGTCATTCTTAATACAGAAAATGTAGTCCGTGGCTCCCCAAATTTATGAAATAAAAAAGGCATTTCTCAGATGTTTTCCAGGACTTCGAAGCTAAAAAAACAGGAAAAACAACTACAGATACACCTGTGTTTTATTTCATAGCTGTGCAAATCTCAGAATGTGTATCCTTTTAGAAGTTAAATGCAAATTAACACAATTAAACATTAAAAAAGCATGCTTACGATTAAAGCTGTAGAAAAGTTGCAGAAATTTATCAGGTAAACTGTTTGATCGGAGAAATAAAAAATAAATTTAAACTGGTATGCAAACCTGTACATAGTCGTGCCTCCTAAAAATCCATGAGAAAAAAAAAACACCCAGCAGCTTTTTGAAAAATCTTGGACAAAATATTTCAATTATCAAAACGTATTTTGAATCTTACCTACAAATTTCAGGTAAGGAAAGGGTAGTAGGGAAAACTCACAGAAACACTCTATACAGGTAAATGTGAAATTCCAGAGTCTGAATCAGAAAGAAAAATTGACTCCCGGCTGAAGGCTTGTGAGTCAGGCGTGGCTGAAATCTAGTTTCCAAAAACAACCTAAAAATCTTGCTAAAAATCCAGGAAAATTTCTGGAAACACCTTTTGAATATGAGTAGTCTCCCCTTCTTTCAGCAAACATAGTAGGCATATCTCAGCAGTATGCAGGATGGCAGTTGCTTGAAACAGCAGATATCCATCAGAAGACTGCATTAAAAACACAATGCAATCATTCTTCAAAGACAAACGGCCCAGTGGGATGAAGTGAACTTGAAAAGTTCTGCAGAGCTCTTGAAAAAGTCTTCTTTCCCAAAAACCACAACTGGCTTAGCTCCTGGAAGGCAAAAGTAGTTCGTAGCTTGTGCTCTTGGCTTCCCTCCCCTAGGACTACAAGCACTTTCTACCTGCTGACACAAAGTGAGGGTGGAGCAGCCAAAGGCTATAACTCCACCTCCTGAATGTGGTTTTGAGAGTTCTTAGACTCCCTCTCCTGATTGAGTAGTAAATTGCACTTAACATTTGCTTCCTTTTGACATGAATTGGCTAACTAGTCTATATGAGCAAGATTCACTTGCTGCTTTTTCCAAAGAATTATGTACAGAGAAATGGTAAAGGAAAATAATTTGTTCAAATGTGTTACAACAAATCTTTGTTTCAAGATTTTCAGTATGACACTTTCAATTACACTGAAATTAGAACTACAGTAATTTTATAGGATTGACGTATAAATGGAATATAAAGTCTGCAGCTAGCTTTTCTTCAAGTCTTAATTTTGGTTGTGTTGTTTTTTCCCAATAGCCACTGCAAGGGAGATTTTAGGTAATGCTGATTTTTAGAAATCTGGAATTCAGCTATTACTGTCGTCTGACATCAGCTGGATGAGTAATACCACAGGCCAGACAGGAAACTTCAAAGCAAGATTACCCATTTGAAGCTGTAATTTAGGATGTGGTTTAATTCCACTGGGTACAACATTCAGGTTAGTAGAAAGTCAAGTATTCAATAATGTACAGAACTCCATGCGAAAAACCAGTTTTGCAATAATTTTATTTAGATATGGAGAAAAGTCAATTTTCTTTAAATAAAAGAAGGAAAATATGGATATTTAATGTTTTGATTTGTTCTTTTTATTATAATAAAGATCTCCCATTTCTAGGCTGTTACCCGAATTTTTTCTTTTAAATTGCTTACTGTATAGTGTTAAAAATGACTGTGTAGACTGTCCTTTCACTTTAGCACACTTTTGAACGTGTAGTGATTTAGTACTTAATTTTACTCAAATGAAAATCAAATACTTTACTTTTTCATAGGGCTATAAGATCTAAGCAGCAAAAATCCAGATAACCACTAGATGACAGCATATGGATACAGAAAATTCAACCTATGTTTTGCTGTCTATTCTGGATTTTTGCCAGAAAATCTGGTAGTCCTACTCAAGTATCACTATTAGTAAACACTGGACTTCTTTGGAGTAATCCCTTTTATTGTTTATTAATAGAATACATTTTAGCTGAAAACTGAAAGTACTGAGAAGGTTGTTCCAGATAGAGTTATGCTGAGTATTAGCATCAAGCAATATTGTAGAGATTTCTTCAATAGTCTGAATATTATTTTCTCTTTTGCCAGTTTCAATATTCTTTCTTTTGTACAAATGCTTAGGAGTCAAATAACCGAGTCTATAAATATGGTAGGAGATCCAGCTCCTTGGCCTCATTTTCCAGTTAGTTTACAGACAGATGTAAAGATATAAATATCGCCATTTCCAGACTGAGCCTTAAAAATAGAGGCCCATTTAATTGTTCATTATTAATAATTTTGAATTATTAATAAAGCTATGTTATAATACAAATATTTTCTGTAGTCCAATCAGGTATGATAAAGAATGAGCTTCATTTGCAACATTTATTTGAATCTGCAACAGGCCTGAACTAAATGCCTATTTTTAATTTAAATCAGGACTGATATACAAGCACCTCTTATCATTTTTTAAATTCAGAGACCTTGCTAAGTATTCTCCCTGCTTGTGTAACATTTTATTTTTCACTTAATTTTCTTATCTTACAATTAGACTGAATGTATATAGATGGACAAATGGAGCCTCTGACAATTGATTGGAGTTATCTCAAAATAATCGGTATATCAAAGCAATGGAAGCTTTGCAAGAAATAATACGTTACTGTCCTACAAATCAATATGAGGCTATAGCTGAGTTTGTGTGGTTGACTTTGGTTCATCCTGCCTTTCATTGAGAGATAATAGATATAGGAAATCTAGGAATTGCAGAAAGTCAACTGGAATAAAAGATCTTTCTGATCTGAGTTTTTTGGGAAGTATATCCTTATGCATTTTTCAGAGTTCTGGGAAATCAAAATAGTTTTAAAACACATTCTCGTCATGCTACATCATTTGCATGCATTCTAATTACAACATAAATACATTCGAGTACAAAGTCATTACTTTTTAAAATCTATTGTCAATAAATATAATCATATTGAACAAGTTAAATAGCTTGCAAAGACATTTAAGCTAAGCAATAAAACAACATAAGCCTTAACATTTGTTTTATATTGGCCTAGAATGAGGAAATTATTAAAACACAAGAATGTACCATTAACATAAAATATCCAGCAGCTATTATGGATGGAACAAATGAAGAAAGAAAAAAATCTGTTGTGTAATTAACTAGAAAATGAGATAAACAGTCTTGAAATGAAATTTGAACAATCCTATGGGGACATTTGTGGCAGCTGTTTGAAATACAGCTTTTTCACTTTTAACAAATTTGGACAAATAAGTTTATTAATTAGATGAAACAGGTTAAAAAATAATTTAAATCTATTAAAGGGGTGTATTAAAAACAGTGGTGGGATTATTTACAAGTGTAACAAAAATGAGCAATGGAAGAGAGTTTTATTTGTCATAACAGTCCCCAAAATACTCCTGGAATGAAAGCCACTGCTCTTCCCCAGCTGGCTACTGCTCTGCATTTGTACATACTTTCCACCAACTTCTCACTCCCTTAATTCTTCTTCCTTTGGAAAATGCTCTTGCTTGCAAGCCACATCCACTAGCAAATGTAGATCTAGGAAGAACACAAATGGCAATCCAATATTTATTCTGTAGTTTGGTTCTTAAGATGTAAAGTACATCTTAAGAGATAGAAGATGTACCCCTGTCTGCCTTAACTAATGGGGTTCCAGGCCCATATTTGCCAGCTAGAGTTCCCCAGCAGCTGTGGCAGAACAGAGTTTCAGTGAAAAATTAGGCATTTTCTTTCTTTGCTACATTGAACAGATAAATTGATAGAAGTCAATGCACAGATGGCCACTTACAAATCCATAGCTGCAGATATATATTTGTATTGTCTCTTTGTATTATGTATATAGGTAAATAGTTAATAATTATAATTACAGAATATGGGATGGGTATATAACATCAAGATACAAGGGAATACAGCCACTGCTAAAGATCACATCTGCATTGGCTTTAGTATGTTACCTGTAACACCAAATAAAGGTAGTGAATTGAAATTAGACTGTTGCTTACGTCAAGCAGACATCCTTCTCAGAAAGGCAGCAAATAAAGCAGAAACATAACAGATTGAACTTGCAGAAATAATAGTATTACTATTTTTATTTAATATGCATGTAAGTGCAGTCCAAGCAGACAATAAACAAATCACAGCATACTATGTATTTCAAGAAGAGACAACTGGTTAGCAAGCACTATAATGTTGTCAACCCATTTCCAAATATTCATCAGAACAAGGAAGGTTGCTCTCACAATTTTTACACTCCTGAAACAAGACTTCAAAAGCCAAAGAATTCATGTCTCCAAAGAGAAATGTAATTCCTGGACAAAAGAAAGTGCAATCAGGGAAGAAATTATTAAAGTCACAACCATCACGATGCCAAAATGATGGAACATACATTGTGATGTCATGATGTAAGCTCCATCCTTTCATACTGATATCACTACAGTGTGCAAGTACATAAGAACAGAGTTTGCATGGTGATGTGACAACAATATTTTGTCAATTGTACTCCCACTTCGTAGATGATTATGTCCAAGTACCAAAATTTCCTCAGCAAAACAAACTCTTGGAGATGCAATTACTATGGTGATTAGAAAAGAAAATGCCAAGAATAAAACCTATGGCATGTAAGGTAAGGATGGGGCTTTCTACCAAAGATCTTGATTTTAAAACATTCCAAAATGCTTCACACAAGCCCTAAACCATAATCATTGCAATTACAACCAAGACATATTGCAGAAAAGATGGTTTTGGCATAGCAGTTCAAACTTAGTGATAAGAGGTGTTTAACATTTAAACATCCTATATTGGGAGTTGTTAGTTTTTTGTGTGTTTTTTTGCTAGCGATATGTAAGATATGAAGTTCCATTCTGTCCTGCAAATCTGAACTGAGCAGGCATAAATGACACTCAAAATCATTTTCAGCTCTTTGACTACGGTATATTTTGACTGTAAGGTCAAGAAATCAGACAAAGTTCAACAGATTATACATTTTGTTATCCCTCCATTCTAATACTCAAATTCCCCTTCAGTTAAAATCCTACACGTAAGTCTTCAAAACATAGGCAGGACTAACTAAAATATATATAAAATTTTGCTGCATATCTCTTCATGCACAGAACCGCATGAAGGCTGTTCAGTGTTTATTATGAGGAATGATCAATAGTGCAGGGCTTTTCAACCTTTTCACCCACTGTACCACTCTTAGGATATGGCAATATCCGAGTACCACCAGTTGCCTAGCAAGGTGTCAAAAACTTGATGACACCCCCCCCCAAAAAAGGAAAAAAGTGATGAAGTACAGGTAGTCCTCGACTTACAACAGTTCGCTTAGTGACTGTTCAAAGTTACAGCGGCACTGAAAAAAGTGCTCCCCAAGCCACAGCCGAGCAAGACACCTGCCTGCCCGCCCGGTGGCGCTCTTCCTCCTGTCCGAGGTTTTCATTGTTGTGAGCATTTATGTTGAAGATTGGCAGTGGGGGTAGGGTGGGAGGTGTTTGGTTTTTATTCCCCCCATCTGCTGGGTGGTTGCAGCAGGTTTTGGTCACTTCACATGACCCGGGGACACTGTGACCGTCATAAATATGAATCAGTTGCCAAGCATCTGAATGTAAATCACAAGACCCTGGAGATGCTGCAACATTCCAGCTGATTGGTGCTTCTTCTGGGCTCATCAGAAGCGCCAGGATCAGCGCCGAGCTCCAGCTGGAGCCTGGCACCGATCCTGGCGCTTCCGCTGAGCGCTGACAGCCCCGAAGAAGCATTGATCCTGGTGCTTCCGCTGAGCCCTGACAGCCCTGCAGCTCCAGCCATCTCTCGCTCAGGCTTGTGCTGTGCTGCCACCGATTCAGCTCATTCCCCTCCCCCGCTACCACTTTTCTAGGATGGTCGCGTACCACCTGCCAGGTGCCAATGTACCACAGGTGGTACCCGTACCACTGGTTGAAAAGCCCTGCAATAGTGCATTAGTAATTGGGGTTTTTAACATGTCCCATACTAATATTTCAATCTTTGTACAAAAGATAAGTATAATTTAGGTTAATTATCCTTAATGCTGGTGTCTGAGGAACTAGCAGAAACAAAATTCCTCTAAAAATTGAGGAAAAGGAAAGCATTAAGTATTTTAATGTAAATAAATTTATATGAGAAGACACCGAAAGCCTACCATTCTTACCAGGGGATTTGCCCTTCTGTGAACTGCTCCTTCTTTCTCTGCATTTGGTTTGGACGGATGAAACTGAATCTTTGGCACATTTGCTGAGAGGACCCACCTCTGAAATGAGGAAACCAATTTGTTCTGAGGACGCAACAGTCTCTGATGTATTTGTCTCACACTTTATATTAGGATCCTCCTTATAAAGAAGTAAAACACACAAATAAATAATACATTTATTTAAAAAAATTCAGATAACAGTGGCACAAGTCCTTGAAGCCCTTTCTCCACAACATCATATTTATTTCATTACTATTCCAGGGTCCCAGGATGGCCTATGTTGTTTTCCCACACATAATGCCATAACAAAGACTTAAGAAGGAAAAGTGGGAAGCCTATTATCCAAGATTTCTTTAAAAAGGCTACATGTGCAAGAGCATATTCAGAACCACCAACAGAATGTATGGGCTATTGTAGAAAAGATTATCTTTCAAAGAACAATTAAACTTTACCCTTAAAATTGGCCCCATCATCCTAATTATCAGTGTCATCCAAATAGACATCATCACAGCAATAATGGTAAAAATATTTCAGAAACACAATTATTTTCAGAACACCATATTCTTCACTATTCTCTGTCATTAATGCCTTGAATCATGACTAGTTCATGACTTAAGTTTACCTAACCCTACTTGCCCCATAAAATATTAAATCTATCATCTCAAATTAACTAATTGGAGGGGCTTTCCAAGAACTGAACCCTCACAATTGGTAAGGAGTTAATGAATATAGTTTAGAATGCTTTATGAACCAAATTAAACAAACCATAGTTTAATGCAACTTTATACCCAGGGAGGGGTGACTGGTCTAAGGCAGTCAAGTAAAACTTTCATGGTTGGTTGAGGATTTGAGTTCAGAGTTCCTTAGTTACAATTTGACCTATGATCATGACAATAATCTTAATATTATGACTGCAATCTTGCAGTAAACTTAAGCTGCTTTTTAAATTAGCCCATTTTCTGAGTTTACACAATTCAGTCAACAATAACTAATGAAACTGGCTGGGTTCACACAACATGCTGAGTGACAAAAAAAGCTAAGCAAAGTTAATATTAATGAAATATTAACCTTAGAAAATTGTGTAAACACAGCTGCTAGTTTTTAACTGACCTGTCTAGTATGGTATATGAACACAGCTGAATTTGCTTAACAAAACTTTTAATAGTGAATATACTATTCAGTTGTGTTAATTATGCACATTAAGCAATATTTGTATTTATAATTTTGAACATCAATGATTTGATGATGCCATGAAATATATTATTTTAATTCTAATTTAAATATTTGCTTACTATGGAAGAACGTGGAGATGAGATTATCAGTCCAGAATATATCATAGTTTTTACATTGCTCTTACCTGTGTCTGACTGAATGGAAGTTCCTCTTGAACAAATACCATGGAAGACACTGCAGAAGACTGGTTCAGTTCTTTGACCTTTGCTGATGTTTGTGGTGTGACTGTAGGCTGCTGCACTATTTGAGTTGTGGTATTCTCCACAGGTTCTGTGGTATGAATAGCATAAATAAACTCTGGAGACTGTGGCAAGGAGCAAGCTATAGCTTGTTCAGACTCTACAACAAAGGATGTGATATCTGAGCCTACAGGTGTTAGAGGTTCTAAGTGGCTGGTTTGACCTGAAGAAGCTGTATCACTATTCCCTGAATTAACTATTAATTGCTGGTTTCGATTTGATTGTGAAGTTGGACATTGGTTCTCCACTGGTTCTACTTTTACCATTTCCAGCTTTGGGGATGAATGCATTTCATCAACAATCTGGAAGACGGCTTCTAGATTGACTTCTGTCTTCTTGTTTTCATCAGAGGTGTTGCAGGACCAATTAGAAGGCAAAAATTCAACTGGATATGAAGATTGCATTGGTGGATTCTGGTTAAACACAATTATTTGTACATTTTAGCACTGCTGAGTAAAATAAGACTATATAACCCATAATACATCTATCTTTAGGATATGCTGTCTATAATACAGTTACTTTTGAAAATAATACAAAGAATCTGAAGTCTTCATTAACAAATTTTAATTCTGGTGTCCTTGTGACTTATTGCTAAAAGAAAAAGCTATAAGTAAATAAGCAACTAACTAAATAAATATCATTTGAATTTAATATAACAATATTACAGCAGAGATTGAATTTAAACTGGGCTTTCTGACATTATTCTTCAGAAATCTTGGAACAAAGTATTGTGTGAACAATTTTACTTGTGTTCAACCACAGATATAATAAACCTGTGACCAAGGGGGAATAAATCTGATGTTTCTTAAATTTATCTTTTTAATCTTAATGCCATAAACTAACTACTAAAAAAACAAAGTGAATTTTCAAAGCTTCACTATGATATGACATGCCATCAAGATCAGGTTTCAGAAAAGCATACAATATATTGCATTGGACATGCATCAAATAGGTCATTGGAACCTAGCCAATTCACCTGAAAATAGCTGCAGTGTGTATAGATTGAGGCTGCAGGACTACCACAACCACTTAGGGGATCCATGTGGGTAGGTGGAGAACAACATTGTAATACAGCTAGAAAGAAAAAAAGAAAAAATTAAAAGGCAGAAATAATATTCCCAGTTAATTAAAATGATTTTCTTAATTGCATTTAAATACTATTATAGTTTTCTTAAGTGTAATCTAAAAGTGGATTATGCTATAGGATCAGCAGAGATATGCCACAGACCTATATAAAAAGCAGACATGATCTAAGGACTAATCCATTCCCTTCCCCTAAGTAAATGATTTACATGCATTAAACACATTGTTTGAAAGGATTCTATGTATAATAGGAAAACTGGTAAAATCTACTAATACGTTCCCTCTCCCAAATCAACAGCATGCCTTGAGAACCATAGTGTGTGTTGATATAGACCAGCCCAAGCACAAGAAATGTGGAAAAAGACTCTAGGGAAATTCTTTATTAATCCAAGATTTGTGAATAGCTAGGTTCAGAGTTGGATTGCCAAACACAGTTTTGTAAGGAATTGTGCCTTCTAGATCACCTTGTCTTAAGAGTCCACCATTGGATAATGTGTCTCATATAAAGCAATTTTGAGTCCATGAAAACAGAAATATGTGCAGGTTTCTTTCACAATTACTTAGCCCAGTTTATATAGAAAGTTAGCTAGTTATCACTCAATGATAATTTTTTTTCGTAAACTTTTAAAGGCAGAGCATTGCCAAGGAGTATTGTGGAATTTATGAAGGCAATACAGGTAGTCCTCAACTTACAACCATTCATTTAGTGACCATTCGAATGTACAACAGCATTGAAAAAAGTGATTTATAACTGCTTTTCCTACTTATTACCATTGTAGCGTCCCCATGGTCATGTGATCAAACTTCAGATGCTTGGCAACTGGTTCGTATTTTTGATGGTTGCAGTGTACTGGGGTCATGTGATCACCTTTTATGACCCTCTGATAAGCAAAGTCAATGGGGAAGCCAGATTCATTTAACAACCGTGTTACTAACTTAATAACTACAGTGATTCACCTAACAACTGTGGCAAGAAAGGTCATAAAATGGGGCAAAACTCAATTAACAACTGTTTTGCTTAGCAATGGAAATTTTGAGCTCAATTGTGATCATAAGTCAAAGACTACTTGTATTGCATAAGGGAAAGAAAGGATTAGCATTTAGTGATAATATTCAAACTCACTGGATACTATGTGCAACTAATTTATAGAACCAGTTAAGAACAACTTTTAAAATATGTTTCAAATGTAAATTATCAGATTATCATTCAGAAAAATTATTGTGTTGAATGAATCTTCTTTATTCTTTGACATTAAACACTTTCCCCTCAGAGACTTATAATCCTACTGCTCAGAAGTCATTTTTAACCAAGTATCTGTTTATGACCTCTGTAGAAGAGCACAGCTTTGACAGCACTGATGTTTAAAATAGAACAGTCTGTCTGAACATTTTGTTTGCTTGTTGTGTTAAGGCAAAATCCCAGGGCTGTTTTAACTAATATGAATAGCAAAAGCTAATATGAAAGAGCCATAAGTCCCTGCTAAAACTTCAGTGGGTGCAATGTAAACATTAATTAAATGTATTCCTTTGTATGATGACATATACAAGAAACACTGCATAGTTTATGGATCTGCACAGCAAGTTTCCAAGATATTTGAAGTTTTAAAAATAGATATATTGTAAGTACTTCATGATCAAAGTGTGTGATGTAGACTCTGAATACATATGAAGTAGCTTTTAGATTTAAGTTACAAATCAATACACTGCCATTTTCTGACATTATTGAAAATAATTGAGTATAGATTTTTGGGGTAGATCACATCAAATATCAAGTATTTAAGAAGTAGCTGTGTGATTCCATAGTAAATACAATTCTAAACTATAAATTTAAGTACAAATTAACTTATAAATTCCAGGCTATGTTATTTTTCTTACATTTCCAGCTAAAAGAATTATAGGTAGCTGCCATCAGTATTTTAGATGATAGATCTTGCTTTGAGACAGATGATTACTATTGCAGAGATAAGAAAAACTGTAAATTGTTGGACTATTACTATTTCCTTCCATTAGCTGCAGGTGGCACACCAGTGGTCACAAAAATTAGCTGTAATACCATATGTAGCAGGACATAGAAGCCCCAGGGCTCTTTTTGTCTAAACAACAGGCAGATTTGCAATGGTATTTCTATATTATCAGGGATACTATATCACAAGTCCTACATTGAGACAATCTACATGCTATACATTAATACAAATTTGCATCTGTATTTTTATACATCAGATATTTTAATAGTTTTATGGTTGGATGGGAGGCTTGCTAGAGATTGTTGCTGCTGTTAAAACACTAGACCTGTAAAATATGCTTTTACATTTTTAATGAAATAAACTAATATTGGAATATGCTACCTGTTGGATAGTAAGCTTGAGAGTATGGTGCTGAAGCTGCATAACTGGTATATTTCTGGGAAGATGTGGCCATTGTCTGAGGCCCTTGTTGAATGTGTACAGATGTAGAGCTGGGCTGCAGAGTGTAAGTTACTTCTGTTGGGAACCTCTGTAGCACAGGAAATGGAACACCTTTGTCTGAAAAAGTTGATGTCTCCACCTGACCTGGGAGCAATCCAAGGGAGTTCTGCCATGTTCTGGGAGGAAAAGGAGTCCGATCGGAACCTTTCAGTGGAAAAGCATTTTGGCTGTGAGATGATGGCGACAGATAGGAATAAGGAGATAAACTGTCTCGCCGAAAAGATCGATGAACCTGCTCTAAAGTCAATGGTGCTGAAGATGGAGAGGAAAATGAGAAATTTGATATATTATTAAACATATATCAGAAGCCACTAAGTCTTTAATATTGTATTATCACTGCTAAGCATATTTGCCTAGATTAGTTTTAATCAAATAATATAGCAAACAATACTCAAAGAAGTAACTTCCTAGTTAGAATTAGAAAACTGTTAATTTGCATCAGTTGGCATATGTATATGATTCTGAATAGGATTTCTTAAGTGAGCATTAGCCTTGCTTTGGATATCAAATCATTCCTAGGACATTACCATAGGATTAGGAAGAGCCTAGAGTGTTAACATAACTTGGACCAAAATACTGATTTGTTACCACCCCTTGATCGATGTGTTTAATTTGATACTAGGAGTATCCATTTCAGAATCAACTAGGATAGAGCCCTTTTTAATAATAATTAATAGTAATAATATACAATTAAAATAAAAACTACTAATTGAACCGCTAAGAAATAATCTGGGGTAAAAAAAATATACCTAAAAAATAGAGCATCAGATTATTTCACAAAATGAAGACTTTTTCTCTGTTTGCTACTTGCCATAACTCTGAAAATAAGTTATGGCAATTAGACAAAGGCCTCAATAACCGTCTACAAATAAATTATGAAAGGGTTCTTCATTTTCAAGTTGTGAAGAACATTTACTTTTAAATATGAGTTTCATATTTTTATATCTGTTGCTATCTGTTGTGTGCTGCCCATAGTTGCTTTCAGTGAGATTGATAACTATATAATTTTTATAAATAAATAATGCAGTAGTCTAATTAGACGTATTACTGTGGGTTGGTGCATCTACACCTATTTTTGACGATCACACCTCTATCAAACAACACATACCTTAGGAATATTATGCTTATGTGTTACTGCAATATATTCTATATAAAGCTATCTTTAAAGTATTGAGAAACTACAATTGACCCAGAATAGGCAGTTAAGGAATTGTCACCTATTGAAAGTATGTGATTCTTTTTTTTAAAAAAATGCACTGGCTTCTCATTTATTCTGGACCAAGTATAGAAAACGAGTAATATCCTTTAAAATATTTTGGACCAGAATATCTGAAAGACTACCTTCTGCTGTTCAACAGCCTGAGGAAATTTTCAACAGAAGTCCTGTGTTAATATACTCTCAATAGTAGTCTCGTCTGGAAAGAAAGCTTTTTCAGTAGCAGTATCTTTTTCCTCCCAAATTAAATTTGTCATAATCATTATTTTAGACTTACATTGGATAGTTCAAATATTCTAAGAGTTACTATTCTCTCATTGCTTTAATTTGCTAGGTGCTGTTCAGTTAAATTATTTAAATGATTACCTATAAACATAGCCTGTGTTTTTGCTGTTTTATCAAATCCTCATTTATTATTTTACAATTGGTGGCACAGTGGTTAGAATGCAATACTACAGGCTAACTCACTGCTCAGGAGTTTGATTCTGAGTTGTTCAAGGTTGACTCAGCCTTCCATCCTTCCAAGGTTGGTAAAATGAGGACCCAGATTGTGCTGACTCTGTAAACTACTTAGCCAGGGCTGTAAAGCACTGTGAAGCATTATATAAGTCTAAGTGCTATTGCTGTATTTTGTCAATGGTAATAGCAGTAACACTCAGACTTATATACCATTCCATAATACTTTACAGCACTCTCTGAGCTATTTATAGTGTCAGTATATTGTCCCCAACAATCTGGGTCTTCATTTTACTGACCCCAGAAGGCTGACTCAACCTCGGGTTCATCCTGATCGAACTCCAGGCTGAGGGCAGTGTGTAATACTGCATTCTAAGCATTGCACCACCAAGGCTTTTTAAAATATTGTGAGCCTTCTTGAGTTTCATTGAGGAAATGTAAAAAGGTATAAACAACAGGAGGGAAAAAAATCTGTCAAAATTTCTACCAAACAAGAAGACAAGTACAACTACAAAAAAAGTAGGAAAGTGGCATCATATTGGTCTTTTCTTTCCAGGCATGCACTGGTAACCTGCACTGAAGTAGGAAAGAAAAATGTGTAAATAATTTTCACACGTATGTTTGTTGTACTCCTCTGATTTCACACAATAAAACTGGTACATATGTATTTGTTACTTCTTGTGATATATATGGGCTTTTCCTACATGGGTATGATATTTGTGTAGCAATATTACTTTACATGAAATGATTCTAATAATGGATGCAGTGAAAAATGAGAATTTATAGTTCTTCTAAGTTGCTTATAATGACCACCTATGTACTTCTTTTAGCTGTTTGTGAGATTTCTACCTTTTTTTCTCTGTGATAATGGCTCTAAATGAAAAATAATATACCCTAATAAAATGGAGAGAATACTGTGGAATGACTGCTCCAGTGCTCTCCCTCCTGTTCTTTTTATTTCAATTTTATTCACCTGTTAGTAATCTCCGATTGATCTTGATGAATAATTTAATCTATTTTCATCCTGATCCTATGACTGACAAGTATTATTTAATGTTTCTATAGCCATAACAAAAGGGGGCACATTGGCTCAGCGGTTAAAGATACTGAGCTTGTCAGCTGGGAAGCTGACAGCCCAGGTTTGAGACCCAAGGGCCACATGGTGGGGTGAGCTCTCTTTACTTGCTTCAGCTCCTGTCTATCTAGCAGTTTGAAAGCTTGCAAATGCAAGTAGATAAATAGGCAGTGGGAAGGTAACAGCATTCCATGTGCCTTGGCATATAGTCATGCTGGTCATATGACATGGAATATGTTTTCTGATAATGCTGGCTCCCTCAGCTAAGAAACGGATGAGCACCACCAGCTAGAGTTGGACATTACTGAATGGGGAAATCTTTACTTTTATTTTTATAGCCATAGCAACTAGTAAATTTGATGCTCATTTATCAGTGATATGCTCCTGTTTCTGCATATATTACTGGAGACTTGAAAAAAGAGCTGCATTAATTAACAAAATGGTGGTAGTATGAAATGCATACAGCACCAATTATTTAAAATAAATATTGAAAAATTGCAAAGAAGGAATCACTACAAGCATACTCTAACAAAAGATGGAGCAGATAGAACATGCATAAAGCATATCTCTTGTTCCAAACCAGCCTGCTAAACCTTTGCATTTTTTTCAGATTTTTTTTAAAAAACTAATTCCCAGCATCATTTGAAGAAAGGAAATTCTGTAATTAAATCATGTTTAATTTATAAATTATAAATTTATAAAAAGAATTGGCTGGATTCACAAACATGCTAAACTCAAACATATTTTATGATTTTTCATGATGTAAACTCAACAACTGGTCAGTTTATATAAAGATTTGGCAGAGTAGTTCCAAGTGGGGATGATTATTCTGAATAATTTGTCATAGAGCAGGTGCAATATCTAAATGAATAGGTGAATCCTGTTGCTCATTGAATCTATCAGCCTTGAAAGGCACTGCACAACTCAAATCTGCAGAATAAGAGATAATTGTTAAAAAACAACATTTTAGGCTTAACATTTAGCTGTAACATTTTTTCAAGCAGAGTGGATTCAGAATGGATTTTCCTTGTCTTTCAATAGGATGCAATAGGTAGTTATTGAAACTTGTGTGAGATTTTGTTATAGAAAGTGTTGTTTCGTATTACAAGGATTTATCTGGGGATATCTTTAACATTAAAGAAATGTTCCTGTTCTGCAAACATTTATTTCCAAAAGAATTTTGTTAACTTCAATGAGATCTACTTTAAAACCTTACCTAGTAAATTGGAGTGGAAATTCTGTTGGTAAAAATCTTATATCCACAGGTTTCTAACTACTTAAAGAATACAGGTAGTCCTCAACTTACGACCACAATTGAGCCCAAAATTTATGTTGCTAAGTGAGAATTTTTTAAAGTGAGTTTTTCTCCATTTTATGACTTTTCTTGCCACATTTGTTAAGTGAATCACTGCAGTTGTTAAATTAGTAACATGGATGTTAAGTGAATCTGGTTTCCTCATTGACTTTGCTTGTCAGGTTGTCACAAAAGGGGATTACATGATTCCGGGATACTGTAACGGTCATAAATAGGAGTCAGTTGTCAAGCATCTGAATGGAAGTCATGTGACCAGGGCAATGCTGCAATGGTCATAAGCAGTGGTGGGATTCAGCCGGTTCGCACCACTTCAGCAGAACCGGTAACTAATTTTTTGTTGCCCAGGCCCAGAATGGACTTCCAGACCGGTTGTTCACATATTTGAATCCCACTACTGGTCATAAGTATGAAAAATGGTCATGTCACTATTTTCAGTGCAGTTGTAACTTCAAATGGTCACTAAACAAACTGTTGTAATTTGAGGCCTACCTGTATAGAATATGCATGGCAGACTAAACTAATCAAGGAGAGAAGCAACCTAGAACTAAGGAGAAACTTCCTGACAGTTAGAACAATTAACCAGTGGAACAACCTGCCTCCAGAAGTGGTAAATGCTCCAACACTGGAAGTTTTAAAGAAGAGACTGGACAGCCATTTGTCCAAAATGGTATAGGGTTTCCTGCCCGAGCAGGGGGTTGGACTAGATGACCTCCAAGATCCCTTCCAACATTATTATTATTATTATTATTATTATTATTATTATTAAGCACCAGACTTCAACATAGAAATGTATGGATTTTGAATTGACATTGGATAACCAAAGATTTGAACCAGGACCCTTGGGTGATTCATGCTGCTTGTTACTGACCACATGGCTTTATTCACACAATACTTAACTTGGTTACAGAAAAGTCATTTTCTGATTCATATAATACATTGAACAATTGACTAATCAGTGTGGCTTTGAATAACATACTAGGCCACATAAAAGCTAACGGAAACTAGTAGCAATCAAGCTTAATATATTGTGCAAACACAACCACTAGAACGTTAATTGATCTGGTTAAGTGTGTTTTGTGAACAAAGCCAGTGAGTTATAAGTTTATTCTTACGAGATACTGAAGAGCCAATCATATTTGACTGGATGGATCTTGGCTATGTGTTTCATACTTTAATATGCAAACCCAGAATGCTAAGTTGAGCAAATAGTGGTCCAGTTAGGGTAAAAAATGATATACAAATACAGGTAATCCTCGACTTATGACCACAACTGAGCCCAGAATTTATGTTGCTGAGAAATTTGTTAAGTGAGTTTTGCCCCATTTCACAACTTTTCTTGCTACATTTGTTAAGTAAATCACTGCTGTTGTTAAATTAGTAACTTGGTTAAGTGATCTGGATTTCCCATTGACTTTGCTTGTCAGAAGATTGCAAATGATCACATGACCCCAGGACACTGCAACCTTCATAAATATGAACCAGTTGTCAACCATCCGGATGTAAATCACGTGATCATGGGGTTGCTGCAACGGTCATAAGTGTGAAAATGATCATGTCACTTTTTTCTGTGCCGTTGTAACTTCGATCCCTAAAGAACTGTTGTAAGTCAAGGACTACCTGTACAGCCATAAGGCCACAGAGAAAGCTCACTACTAAAACTAAAGGCAGTAACTCTTCATTGTTTTTTTCTTATAAACATTTAGATGCTCAGGATGAAATGGGAGAGCTTCTGAACATGCTTTCTCACTGAACTGAGGCTGAACTCTGGCAGACTGGTTCCTCAAGGTGCACTCTGCAAGTGTTCAGTGTCATGTCCCCAATACCGAACCTTTATTGCTATTACGATATTGTTGCTATTGTTAGTAAGATTCTCATTGCACAAGGAAGAAGGTGCAGTTCTGGTGATGACAATCACGCCCTCCTCTCTCACCGGGCTTGTTGTCGTTGTTCTTGGCAGCTACGGCCCCTGCATGTGCCGGCGGGGGATTGTGATGGTGCTGATGTTGCTGGCTGAGGAGGGCCTCGCCACCGTGAAGGGAGGTGCTGAGAAGGCGCTGGAAGCGGTTGGGTGGCCGGCTGGTGACTTCCAGGCCTGCGGCGAGCTTGGCCTTATTCGCGCTAGTCAGGCGTTTGAGATGCACCAACAGATCGGGCCGGTCGCGACGAAAGTGCGGGCTGTGAAAATGGTGCAAGGGGCCGCCGGGGGCCGAGGCGGCGGCTGAGGCGCCTGCGGTGGATCCGCCGCCAGACGAAGATCCCCCGCTGCCTCCCGGCGGGCCTAGCACCACTTTGCGGAAGCCGTACAAATTGAGCTGCCGGATGAAACTAGTGAAATTGGTTGTCTTGAACAACTCCGGCGAGGAAGTGGACGACGAAGATGGAGACACTGAAGAGCCGCCGGTAGGGCCGGCGCTATCGCCCCCCGGGCCGCCTCCCACTGCGACGGCCATTCCGCTGCCGCCGGCGCCCAGGAGCTCGGCTTCGAACAAGGGCTGGTCGATGAGGAGTCCCTCGCCCCGGGCGTCCCAGCGGATGGAGCGGAAGCGCGGGCTGTTGACAAGGCGCCACAGCTTGGCGGGGAAGTTGTTAGGGTTAATGGGCGCGGCCGAGAGCAGTGGGTCCTCCATCGAGGTGACTCGGTCTGCGGGAAGCCGCTAGACCTTCTAGGCCGCCTCGCGCCCGTTCGCCTTCTCTGCCAGCCTCCCCCCCTCAGTCCAACGGACGGTGGAAGGCCCGCGTGAGGCCGATCGGCTTTTTTCCAACGGACGCCGCCGTCAATCATCGCCGCCGTCGAGGCAGAGCGGTGTGACCGGGCTGCTTGGCGGCGCGCGCTCTGGCTACCCCCCTCCCGCCAAAAGTCTTGGGGCAAAGGTGCTACGCTGGCGGCTGCCCAGTTTCTGCCTTTCAGCCTTTCCCTTGGCGAGAAAAGAGTTAAAATCACACCGCCCCGCTTGCTGAAACAAAACCCTTCACAACAGCACAACAAAATGTTCACACAACACGCTTAACCTGGTCTCTGGGTAGTGGTCTTGGTGGAGAGCAGAAGGGTTCTCTTGCCAAGTGTTACACTTGGCTTTGGTACTCACACTTGGCTTTGGTATCCACCCTGTCCTTGATAAGAATAACTTTTAAGAAAAATATAAATGATAATATATAATTATATATAATAATACTTTTGCAGAAGACAGAACCTTTGCTATCATCATCAGGCTGATTCTCATTCAGTATTCTTAGAATGATAAAAGGCCATTGAAGTTCCCTGCAGGAATCCACATTAAAGCATCCCAGCAGACATCCAGAGGAGAGGAGTTCATAATTCTCCTTGGTTTAAGTGGTCATCAACTTACAACCATTCATTTTAGTGAGTGTTTGAAGTTACAATAGAAGTGAAAAAAGTGACAACTAGTTCTTGCACTTGTAACTTCTGCAGTATCTCCACAGTCATGTGATCAAAATTTGGGCACTTGACAACTGGCTTGTATTTACAAAGGTTGCAGCATTCTGGGTCATGTGATCACCATTTTTGACCTTCCCAGCCAGCTTCCAAAAAGCAACATCAATGGGGGAAACTAGATTTGTTCAATGACTGCATGATTCCCTTAAGTGATTAGCTTAACAACTGTGTCAAAAAGATCATAAAATCAGGCACGACTTAACAACCGCTTAGCAACAGAAATTCTGATCCCAGTTTTGGTCATAAGTACTACCTGTAATTGTTACACTGTTGAACTGCTGTTCAACTTATTTCCTAACATCCACTTGCAATGTAGCTCCTGTTATCTCAGACCATTTTTCTATGTTTTTCTTCCTGGGATGTTAGGTGATCTTGACTTTCTGTGTGACCACTGTGCAAGAACCTGGAGGAACTCTTCTTCCCTTGATTGACTTTTCTCCAGGTCCCCCACCAAGACCTGATCAATCCTAATTTCTCTGACCAATTGGGTAGTCTGTGCAGAACATAATAGAACTGATATGATATTGTGAACTAAAAGCTATTTTTCTTGATGTACTGCAAAGTTAACATTTGCTTTTATATCAGCTAGTGTATAACATAAAGCTAGCTCATTCAGTTTGTGATTAGCTACAATCCTAAGATCTTTTCAAGAAACAGCTATAGTTTCAAGATCCTTTCCACACATGCCTATGCATAAGCAATAGTAAGAATTCCCCATGGTACATTGATGCATCTATATTTTTCCTCAATGAAGAATTTTATGTTTTTCTGGATTAAATTTAATTCTGTTATTTACAACCCACATCTCTCACCTTGCAATACAATTTTTAATTTTCCTTTTTTTAATAGTTTTAACCATTCAACCCAGTTTTGTATTATCTGCAAATCTAATAAGGAATTCACTTCCAGATTATGAATTTAATATATTTAATACTCGGGTTTACAGTTCATGGCAAATACTTTAAACAATTAACACTATTCCAATATACCGGTAGTAGTTCAGTTTAAGACAGAGGTCCCCAACCTTTTGGGCACCAGGGACCGGTTCCGTGGAGTTTTTCCGCGGACCAGGTGCGTGGTTTTGTTTGCTGCCTGCATCTCGCGGATGGGGCTTTGCTTGTGTGGTCTGGTTGCTGGCATGCCGTGGCCCGGTACTGGTCCATGGACTGGGGGTTGGGGACCCCTGGTTTAAGAGCCATGGTGGCACAGTGGTTAGAATGTAGTATTGCAGGCTAACTGCCCACTGTCAGGAATTCAACCCTGACTGGCTCAAGGTTGACTCAACCTTCCATCTTTCTGAGGTTGGTTAAATGAGGAACCAGATTGTTGGGAGCAATATGCTAACACTGTAAACCACTTAGAAAGTGCTGTAAAGTATTATAAAGTGGTATATAAGTCTAAGTGCTATCACTATTGCTAAGTTTAAAATAAATATTAAGCTATATAAATATTCTAACTGCCACTCCTGAACCATACCCAAGATCCATATCAATTCTTTTCTCACTTTACATTCCCAAAGGCCCTCTGGAAATGCCAGATCTTAATCATCTTCCAAAATACTAACAGAGATGAAGTCATCCTTGTTTCTAGGGACAATCTGTTACAGAGGAGGGAGACCATCACAGAAAATTTCTCCAGGCTGTCTATCACCCTAATACGACCACCCTATTGATTCTTACCAAAGTGGCAGATTCTATTTGGAGCAAGTCCTGCTAACAAAGTCTGAAGCCATATAGGATTTTATGGGTGATAGCCACCTTAAATTGCTCCTAGAAGCTAATTGTTATCAGTGGAATTCCTGTGATAATGCTACGTTATTAATCCAAGCTTGACCATTACTGCAAGGCAGCCTCATTTAAACTTGCTAAAATGGTCACCAGAGACAGCCCCATGTAAAACAATATACAGTAGTCTAGTTGTGACATGAAAAGGAATTGAATGACCACCAACAAAGTTTAAATATAGAAGTGTTATGCTAAAGGAAAGGAAAGGTGTTATACTAAAAGGTTGCACATATATTTTAACAAATAGAAAAAACTTAAGAAGCCTGCCCTATAATCTTAGAACTTAAAAATATAATTTTTGTCACTGCTTCTTAAATGTCACAGTATTTGCTGAAAAAAAACATGAACTAGCTGCTTTTCAACGTATTGGAGGCCATCATTTTAAATCTTTGGGCTAAAAACTGATAAGAGAACATTCTTGTGAAGACTGCTCTAAATGGATAAGAAGTGGTTCTACTCATTTGCGTCATTAGACAGAATTTTAAAAAGTTGCAGTAATTCTTTGTGGGAGCGGCAGATAGAACACTCAGTTATAGCATTGAAAAGCAATAGGAGCTTCAAAGTCAATTCAAAATAACATTTAAAAAATCAATAATGTTTTTTCTGGGTGGGCATGCTACAGATACCCTCCATCCATTGTAGAAAAGGGCCTATCACATTAAATCCAAGTTCCTGTTTTCTTACTGTGGAAAAGAGTAATCTGAGAATTGGGAGATACTGAAACAATCCCCAGGACCAATGCAGTTCATAGCTGATGCTTGTACTGTCACGATGGCTGGAGCTGGTAGCTTTTGGAAAGAAGAAAAAGATCTTCCTGTGCAATGATTGTGTTGTAAAATTTATAGACTTGATCTGAGTTTAATAGCATGGCATGTAGGCAGTGACCTGAGAAAAACAAAGCCTAAGGAATGCAGACTTGAGACACTGCAAAGACCAATTAATCCAGTTTGAAATCAGACCAGAATGGAGACAACTACTAGGGAAAAATGCACATCAAGTAATAGACCAAAAATGACAGCAGCTAACAGTGGCATAGCTGAGGTGAAGAGTATTATTAGCATATTACAAGTGGCTAGAGATAGGGATCTGGATGAAGGGTATCCCTTGTACATGCAACATCTAGATTGTGAGTCATTTTACCCACTTTCCTCCAGATTCTTGATCTGTTACTTTTGTGAATCTGTAAAGTTTTTTGTGTGTGTGCTGAGGCAAAATCTTTCTATATTGTAATTAATAAAACTAGGGATTAACAAAGGATTATGTGCGGTCTCATCAATGCTGGATTACAATCTTGAGGGGAAGGCTGGTATCTCACTGATAGGTATGTGTGTTTCTAGTATAAACTCCTGATCATTGACCAAGGCTATGCTGCAGGACCCCAATCTGGATTGGTCCTCTGGTCCTGGTGACCGACCCAGATTGGATCCAGCAACATTATCTAGGGATATATATATTTGCCTTCATTCACCAAGCCTGTGTGTCCAGCAGATGTCCATGTCCAACCTTACTTACTTACTTACTTAAATAATTTATATCCCGCCCTTCTCCCGAAGGACTCAGGGCGGCTTACAGGCAATAAAAACGGAACTATACAATAAATATCTAAAAACAATTAAAATATATATTAAATAAGCCTGTTATTTTTAGAAAAGTTATAAAATCCCTATAAAAATCCCTATACAATCCCCCCCCTAGGCCAATCCCGCTTGATGGAAAAGCCATGTCTTGAGGGCACGGCGGAAGGAGGGGAGATCCGGAATAATCCGGATCTCTGGGGGAAGTTCATTCCACAGGGTGGGGGCTCCCACAGAGAAGGCCCTCCCCCTGGGGGTCGCCAGCCGACACTGTTTGGCCGACGGCACCCTGA